TGTACATCTTAAAAAAGGACGTGATAACTATAATATGATAGGTTATTTAGGATTATAATGGAAAAATAAAATTCATAGGTATAAAAAATATGAAATTATGGGCATAATGATTTATGAATAATATTATAGACCTTTTTTGTATAATATTTAGATAAATTAATATAATAGAAAATATTTTATTCCGTGCATATTGTTAATAAAAAGAATTATTAACCTTATTGAGAATGAAAATAACTGCCTATATGGAAAATACATATAAATAGTTATGCATGCAACCTCTAGATAAAAAAAAAATTTTTAATTTTTTTTTTAAATATATTGAAGGAAAAAAAAAAAAAAAATCAGAAGTATTTTTTTTTGAAAAAATAATTTCTTTTGTAGTAAATTTATATTTGTAATTTTTAAGAAAAAATTTTATATAAATAATAATAAAATTTTCGTGTATGTACTATTTATATAATTTAATTCATATTTCATCAATTTTTCACATTTGTTAATTTTAACATATTAAAGTGTTAAAAATTATTCATAACATTATAATTAATAATATATATAAGTACAAACAAATAATAATTGAAGATTTATGTCCTTAATAAGCATAATGCAATTCTTATTAAATTAAATAAATACCTTTTAAAAGCTAATAAATTCTCATCGAAATAGACTACAGAATTAGAGTTTACTTGCTTATAATGTTGGAAATTATTCATAGATTCATTAAATCCGTAGAAGCAACCATACATGCTCTTTAATTTGTTTATTTAATACTTAAGTCATCGAACAGGCAGTAAATAAAACGGCATGCTAAATTTTCTGGATAAGGTGAAATTATAGATGCATATTCTAAAACAGTTGCTCAAAAGTATGTATACTAAAGAAAAAATAAAAAAATATGTATATGTACTTGTACTGAAAATGAAAACTCTAAAAATAAAATTTTAATAAATAATAATAATTTTATTTTTATTTAATGTGTGTGTGTATCTACAGTTTTAATGAAAAAAGGTGTATCATGTATTTCTTTTTTTTTTTGGTACATGATGCTAACTTAAAAAAATAATATATTATGATAGAATATTTTTTTTTCTTTTGGGAATGCAGTATGTGTTCAAATTATGGTAGAAAGTATATTTAAGTTAAAAAATTTAAAAATTTAATTGAATAATAAATAGATTAAATAAAGTTTTCTCTATATTCTTTTTATTATCTCGTTTATTCAACATTAGCAAAGTCATTAAACAAGCAATTAATAGATTATCTTCCTAGTTATATAACAATATTTTGTAATAAACCATTAGAAAGATATGAAAACACTTATGTTGTTTTATCTTGTCAAAAAATATCCGATGCTGTGATAGAAGTTGTTAAAAAAAGGTATTATTAATCTTTTTGAGAATAAAAAGTAATAGCTGTATGTAAAATAAATAGTTATCCATGCAAGAGCTAAATAAAAAAAAAATATAGTTAATTTTTTTTGTTTTCCTTTTGTAAATTTAAAATACATAAAAAATATATCTATTTTTTTAAATAATTTTAAATGGTTGGATAATTAAAAAGAAGAATTGTTAACTAAGAAGCTTTTTGTAGCATGTTTTGTTTAAATTTATATGAGAATAATTTGTATTAGCAATAATAAAGTTTTCATGTTTTGCAATATTTATATAATTTTTTTGTATTCTGTTAATCATTTATCTTTGTTAATTTAAGAGCAGCGTATTTGAATTTCTAAGCATTACTCATGCATTATAAATAAAACATATCCAATTAAAATCTATAATTAATGACGATTTAAATTTTTAATAAAAATAGGGATTTATTTTAAAGTAAATTAACGCCTATTAAAAACAATAAATGTTCAATGAAGTATACTATGTAAATACAGTTTCCTAGTTTATAACATTTAAAACTGTATCTCTATTTATTAAATTATTAGAAACAGCTACACATGTTCTTTTTTAATCTGTTTGTTCAATTTTCTAGAAAATTTATTAAATGGACAATTAATGAATCAAGAAAAGAAGAACAATATTCCAGTGAATATGGTACGGAGAAATGACTTCTCTATTCATTGCAAAATGGAGAGATTATATGTACCAGAAAAATAAAATTAATTTAATGTACTAGTTTTATAGTGGTGAAATTTTTGGACATGGTGGAAGCAATAAAACTTTAAAGAGAATCCAACAGAACTTGTGGTAGCCTTATATCAGACTTAATATTGAAAAATATATTATAAATTGTTTACTTTGTCAGTTTATTCTTCATAAAAAGGTTAAACATAACATTAATCAAGAATTATCAAAACCTATTTTATTTCACATGGTTTCATTGGATATTGGGGGACATAAACTATGGAAAGGAGGAAAATATTTTATACAGGTGGCTATAGATACTTATTCAAAGTTTACGTTAAATAGTCTTATTAAGAGAATGTCCATTTCTGCTAACGCAATTTCTGTGACAAGAAATACTCGTATTCTTGTATTTGAATGTCCTAGAAGTATTCATAGGAATTACTGATACACTTATTAGTAAAGGATTTTTAAAATATATCATTCAGGAATTACAGATAAAATTATAGCACACTAATTTTTATTTTCCCCAAAGAATGGCATTAATGAAGGTCCTCATAAATGTTTCGATTATGTACATAAGATCATATATGAAGAAAAAGATATACCTCTTGAAGAATTAGTAAAAAATACAGTATTGATATATAATGGTACACCTCATGGAATTTTAGAAGAAATATAATGTTTTATTATGTTCGAAATGAATTAAATATATTTCTTCGTTTCTTAAGATTGTTACCTGAAAATACTTAAGAAATGAAAACCATTTAACTAGATAATAGATGAAAGAAGGCGCATGAAAACTTAAATAGATTTAAAGAAAAATCAGTGGCAGCAATTAAAGAAGTTGATGTTCGTAGTATTATTCCATATGGATTATTATACAAAAGGAATTAATGTAAGCCTTATAGTAGTTATAATCAATATAAATATTCCTTTTCATTGATATACAAACTAAAATTTAAAAAGGAAAATTAAAATCAATATCTTTATACTATAGAGGAAAAGAGATTCAAATCTCACTTTCTAAAATTAAATTATTATGTAATAGAATTGAGTAGATATATAAGATTCAATTAAAAATTTAATATAAATTAGTGAAAAAAATAAGAAAAAGTCAGAACTTTTACATGAATTAGACCTAAAAACTATTCTGATATTTATAAAAGAAATATTACACTAACAAGTGAATTGAAAAATAGTAGAAACCGTAAAACAGATAAAGATATACAATGTCTGGAGGTTTTAAGACAAGTTAAAGAAAATAAAATCAAATAATATCATGTTCACAAAGTAGTGGGGTATAGTTTATAAATAGTATTATAGACCTATTTTAATTTACATTTAAATAAATAAAATGAGTAAAAACAATTTTATATGTGCATGTTAAAATGACGGGAAAATCTTCGTATATAAACTCCTATACTAAAAAAATAAATGCAAAATTGCATGTACAATAAAGAAAAATACTTGCACTAAAAGTAATCTAAAAGAAAAATATAGATATATTTTATTTATTTTTTTTTTTTTCATATGTAACAATAAATTAAAAAATAATTTTTACGATAATAATTTTATTTTTTTTAATTTGTTTTTTATGTAAGATTAAAAAGATAATGTTAAAAATGTCTACAGAGTATCATTATAATTAACTAAAATGGTAATTAACTTATGTAATTAATATTTGATATTAATTAAAAAAAAAAAATTAAACAATTTTTTTAATATTATTATTTTAATAAAAATAAAATAATTAAAATTTTTTCTGCATGCTCTTTGTTAAGTTGTTTGTTCAACACTAATAAAGTCATTGAAATTAAATTAATAAATTAATAATATTCCTTTTGATTCATTTATTAATAATTTTTATTATTTTTAATTTTTTACTTTTTTTTCATATATAATTCTCTGCTAATTTTATAGCTAATTTTCAGAAAAAGAACCATTATAATTTTCAACGCTTCAATTTTTTTTTTTTTAACATTCTCATTAAATATAATTTTTTTGTTTTTTGATTCATTTATATCTTATTTTCTCATTCTTTACAAACATTAATTTATCAAATTATAGGTTGAGTATTTTTATGAGAAATTAAAAATTTTATAATTAATTCATATAGACTTAATTATAAATACCTTAATATAGAAAAAAAAACTAATGAACTTCTTTTTAATCTGAAAAAATAATTATATTTCTTATATTTTAATTAAAAATGGGATATTCTTTTTTTTTTTTTAACAATTTCAAAAGAAATTAAATATAAAAAGCATAAAATAATTTGTATTTTATCCTTGTAATGGTAGTATCATAGTATATTTATTAAATATATACAAATACTATATATGTATACATAATTCTCTTCCTATATGCATCTGACAATATATTAATATTGTAAGAAAAGGTTAATAACCATTTTATTAGAAACATATAACTTATATTTTTTTTCACAATTATTTTGAATTTTTAAAAAATTCTTTTTTACAAATTCCATTTATATTTCCCTTATTTAATAAAATTATGTGTTTTTACACATATTTCAAATTTTTCCTTTGTTCTGAGTTTCTATCTTCCACTCCTTTGCAGTCTTCTGTTATTATTTTTTCCATTCTAAATTTTTAAAATTTGTTTTACTGATTCTTTTCATATTTTGTCATTATCATATATATTTTTTTTATTTATTTTCTTTAATATTAATATCTCCTAACTTTCTTCCTATAATATTTTATGAATTTTTTTCATTCCTTTATAACAAAACATAAATTCTTCTTCTGTTCATTTTATCACCTTTTTCTTTCTTGTAGTAATACTTTTTATTTACTTCTCTTGTATAATAGTTTCTATACTTTAGACAATTTGATTCTAGCTTTCGTTGTTATTAATTGCTTTTATTTATTTCTTAACACTTAACTTCTAAAGTTTTTCAATATGTTATGACTCATCCTTTTTTAGAGAGTTTTTTCTTTGTTCTTTCCAATCATTAATGGAATCATTCATGTAGCATCTCCAATTATTTAATATTAATTCATGGTAATTTTCTAACGATTTTTTCATGTTTTCCAAATATTCATATATACTATTATAACTAGGAAATGTATTCAAAAAACATAAGAAGTTTATATGATCTTCACCCATCTTCTTCAAAATTTGTTCAGTACTTTTAAATCTCCAGTTAAACCATGTTTTATTTATCCACATACTATCATTTATATTATTTTCCAAACATTCTCTTTTCCATTCTTCATGTGCCATCTTTCTCATTTCATAATTTCCTTTTCTCCATTTTGCACGTTGTGAAGCCCAAAGATTAACTATGCTACAATCTGTATTATCCTGAAAAATTTTTATTTTTTCTTCTTCGTTTTCCATTAATTTTCTTGAGTAAACTTTGCTTTCCTTCAGTTCAAAAAATACTTCGTTCTTTGATTTAGACACATACTATAATTAAGTATATAAATTAAATATTTAAAAGATTTTATATTAATTTTATTTTAACTTATATAAGGAATATTTCATGAAAGGAGAATACAAATTTTATGTTATATATTTTACATTACTTGTATCAAAAAGAATAGAAGAGAAAGACAAAATAATCTTAAAATCCTAGAAAATAAAAGATTTCTGTATATTTCGGTATATTTTTTGTATTGAATCTCTACTGAATTATCAAGATATCCCTTCATAATTGTACTATTAAAATCAATATTTTCTTTGATAATATGATTTTTTGATATTCTAAGAGATCTTATATTTAACTTCTATGATATTAAAAGAAATATTATTTTTTTCATGAGATATTCTTTAAGAAAAATTTACTCTTGCAACTAACTTAGGGTGAAATAATTATTTCTTCTTTAAAAGAAAAAAATAATATACAATTTTAAAATTATTTGAAAATAATAATAAAATTGAAAAATATAAATTAATTTTCAAAATTTTCATTTGTATTTTGTTGTTTTAAGAATCTATATAAAAAAATTATATAGAAATAGAAATTAACAGATCATAAAAATAATAAACTATAAATGAATATAATTAATGTATTTTTTCTTAATAATATATTCCAAAAAGAAAAATTTAAATATTAATATAATTAAATTTATTTAGTTAGTTTGGTATTTTTACATGCAAATCAAAAGTTTTATTAAGTATATTTCATTTATTATTTATTAAAAGTATTGAATTTCTTTAATCTATTTGACAATTTTATTTCCAAATTAAAAATTTTATTAAGTATATTTCATTTATTTTCTTTTTATTATAGATATCAAATTTATTAATCTATTCGGTATTTTTATATGTAATCTAATAGATTCATATAATATTTTTCTTTTATTTTATACATATTTCTTTTGTTATATTAATAAATTTTTTCTAAGGAAATACTATTAAAACATTTTTAATTAATTGTTTTTGCATGTTTTTTCTACAGTTCATGCAACATAAGTACTTCATATCAAAACCTACTAGTTATAATAGTGTTTATATTTAAAAAAAAAATTGTTGCAAAAAAAAAAAAAAAAAAGAATAATAATACATTTTTTTTATCAATGTGCTTTTTTCTTTGCATTATCATCGCTTTAAGTATTTGACCTTTTAACTTTTTAGGATATATTTATTTCGCTAATTATTTTTCTTCATTAGATATTTTATTGTTATTGTTCCAGTTTTTTTATTATCTTTCTTTTATTATAATATTTCGATGATATATATATTCATTATTGATATATATATAAATTATATGATTATAATATATATTTTTTTTTATCATATTTTATGAAGAAAATTAAAAAAATACTAGAGAAGCACTTTAAATAAAGAAATCACACAGATAATATATATATATATATATATATATACGAATTATATTTAAAATATAAAACAGAGAGAAGGGTGATATTTAATGAGTATGTTAAATAAAAAAAACATACTTAATTTAAAAATTATTTTAAAAAATTCTGTAGTTAAATATATTCGAAAAAAAGAATAGTTATTTTTTTTTTTTTTTTATTATTTTTATTGAAGTGGAAACAAAAATATAAACTATTCTTTTTTTTTTTTATTTTATTTTTGTTTCTTTTTCAATTTTTTATGAGAACCATAAATATGTTTTTTATTTTTATAAATAAAAGTTTATGACTCATAATATCATTGAATATATTTTTACCATTAAGCATAATCATAATAATTATTTTAAAAAATTGCTAGATATCATATTTCTTAAAGCATGCAATGTAAAAAAAAATTTATATAAAAAATAATATAAAATAAAAGTATTTATATAAAAATATTATAAAGAAAATTTTATTTTTAGATTAAGAAAAAATAAAAAAAAGTATAATTAAATAACAAATTATATCACAGAAAAAATAGTAAATAAAACAAAAGTTATTAAATTTTTTTTTTTTAAATGTATAGTTGTATAAGGAAGCAATAGAATTGAAAGTATATATTAATAGAAGTAAAGATTTTATAAAAATATTTAATAAGTGTTTTATGCCAAAATTTATAAAGATAATGATTATAACTTTTTGATAAAAAAGGAAATAATAATTAAAATATTAATACTTTTGTTTATATGCGTGACAATTAAAATTACAATTACAACTAAAAAAATTAAATGAGTTTATATAAAGGAAAAGAAAACATTATCATGAAAAGAAAAAATATATATAAGTTCTTAGTTATGGCATTCATTTTTATTAAGAAAGAAAGTAAAATAAAGAAGAATAATAATTATGTTTTTCCTTATGCAATACAAATGTATATGTTTTGAATAAAAAAAGAAAATACTATATATATATAATTACTGTAAGACTACGTAATTTTTTGATGGCTTTAATACATTTGACTACAAAATCACTTTTTATTTTCTTATTATTCATTAAAAAAATTACAGTTATATTGGTGAATAAAATTTAAATGTAATATCATATTGATATTATTGTTTTATTGTTAATTCTAATGTAATAATTATTTTGTAGTTCTTACTACTAACTTTTTTACTTAAAAGTATAAAATGTATATTCTCTTTCAGCATTAATTACTAAAAAAAAAATTAAAAAATGAATAGAGAGAATTATATCACAAAAAAAAATATATGATTTTTGCAATATTATTAATATTTTTTGAATTGTTAATTTTTTTTTTTATTTCTCCAATTAGAATCAAAATATATCTACTTATTAGTTTTCTTCTCAATGAAATCCGTAAAATTTTGAAAAGTCTGATAGTAAGCATGCAGAAAAAAATATTTTACATATATCAAAGTAATTAATAATTTTATGATTTACTTGAAAAATTTAGTCACCAAAGATATGTTACTTTTATATTGTACTATTTATAATATAAAATAATCATTTTATTAACACAAATGATATATTGTCATCAAAAATATTCTTTCTTAGAAATTTTGTAATTTTTCTTGTTATTTTTATGAAATAAGTTATTTTTCTTCTTTTATGAGAAATGCCTTTTTTTCTTGGAAAAAAAATTATATTCTCATAATTTTTTTGTTTATCTATATTTTAATATTTTTTTCCATAAAAATAAAATTTTCGTATTTACATAAAATTTAGTGTGATGATTTAATGATTGCCAACTTAACGATTCTTGTTAAAATGCTGAACAAACAGATTAATATGGAGCATGTAAAGCTATCTCTACTAAGTTAATGAATTCAAGTATAATTTTAAATGCTATAGACTAGTAAAACTTCATTTATGTAATATACATTATTGAGAATTTTTTGTTTTTAAGAAGTATTTATTTATTTTAATAAAAATACTTTATTTTAATCAAAAGTTTAAATCCTTATTAATTATTTCTTTTTAATTTAACACATTTTAATTATAACATTATAAATTACGTTTAGCAATTCAAGTTTGTTGCTTTTAAATTAACAAAAATAAGTAGATATTAAAACACACTCAAATTATGTAATTATTATGGACCATTTAATAAAATTCATTATCAACCTCTTTGAGAATAAAAATTAGTAACTGTATGGAAAAACACAATTATAGTATGATTCATTAATTGGATGTTCAATGACTTTACTAACATTGAACAAACTAATTAATAAAGGGAATGTTTAGAAAATTTTACTTATATCTTTTTTATTAAATTAAAATATTAATTAAATTATTTTCCTCTATTAATATCAAATATTATTTGCATCAGTTAATTTCTTTTATTGTTAATTTACATAATACCATATGTATATCAAATTTAACCTCACATTTTTAACCATTCACAAAAAAAAAATAATCTGTGTTACCATCAAAAAAAAAAAAAAAAATAGTTTTTTCTTTTAAAAAAAGAAATAATAAAAAAATTTTTTAAAAATTAATAATTTTATATCTGTCACAAAAAAAAAAAATATATTTTTTTTTATAATCGTAAATACACAAAAAAGAAATATTGTAAAAATATACCTACATTTTTTGTGTACTTTTAGAAAAAGTAATTTTTTTTTTATTTTTAATGCAAAAATATTTTTTTTAGTTTTCATGTTTATATATGTAAATTTTCACAGTACTTTAACATGTACCAATAAAATATTTTTACTCATTTTATTTAATTTAATATTACTTTAAATAAATCGATAATGCTATTTATATACCAATAATTAATGCATGGTTTTCTAGGTTGATAAAATGGAAAGTAAACTATTTCTGCCATTTTTTCACCTATTTTTTCAAAAACCCTAAAATGTTCTTAATTCCAAATAAACTTTTTCTTCTTAGTTAATAAGGGAATTTAGAAATACATTCTGAAAAGTTACTAAAATAATTTATATAACAATTAGAATCTTTTAAAAAATATATCACCAGTTTCCTAGATATAGGTTTTCTTTTTCAATGAATATTTTTATTTTATCTAATGAAGGGCTGATTTTTTATAATCATTATTTGCACCAAATATGCTATGGATGTTTAGAAATATTCACATTTCTCAACATTTATCCCTAAATTATTGTCAGTAATAATTTATATACTCTTCTTAATTCTTTAAAATGTTCATTTATAGTTTTTGTTAAAATTATGATGAAATTAATATACTCTACTGCCATATTTTCTTAAATAAAATCCACAGAAATATTTTCTATTATTCTTTGAAGTTGTATGATGCTAATTTTTAATCCAAATGCTAATACGTTAAATATAAATGTTTCACTTTTAGATGCTATAAACTTATTATATTGTTTACTTTTTTTATTTAATACTATGTTCCAAAATTCATTTTTATTATATATTTTAAGAATCCATCCATTGCTATAAAATGCATGGAATACGTCTTTCATATGTTGTAAAATATAAAAATCTCCCATTATATATATACTTAAAAATCGATATTCTATAAGAATTCTCCATTTTTTACCATTTTTGCGAACCAATATCATAGCTGAATTCCATTTTTGATTATGAACACTACTAATAACATTCATTTCCTTATTCAATGATCTAAGATTGTGTCTTAGAAATTTTCTTTGAGTATCAAGATAAATTTTATACTTACTTATACTCCTATATTTTATTTTTTCACAGTAACGAATTATATTTCAATAGCTTTCTAAATTTATCCCTATATTCTTGAGACTTCAAATCAGTTTTATCAATAAAATTTTGAATAATTACTTAATTATTCTTTTCTGAACCACTTTCTTCATCTTTTTTAACTT